CTTCTCAGTCGTTGGGTTTTGGAGAACTTATTCGGAATTTCATATTTGTTTCTTAGGGATTTTCGTTTCCAAGGTAAGGATAAGTCATTTTATATTTTCACGGGTTCTTTGCGTGCTTTAACTTTTCAATTTTGTTGTGGGAGCTTCACGATTAAGCTCTCACGAAAGGCGATTACGTTTGTACACCTGGTTTGTGTTCTTTCTTTCATAATCTGAGGCGTTTGTTTCGTTATTTCTTCAGGTGTCTATAACAAAAGATTTTTTCACGTAAGCCAACACGCTGAAACGCGGCTTGTGTTCAGTGCAGGTTGCACAGGAGCTTTTACGTTTTCACAAGCCAACATTTATCGGCTTGGACCTTCGGTGCGGGTTGTGCCAGATTGAAAGGAGTCATTGTACTCTCGCAAGCCAACATTTGTCGGCTTGAATGTATTTGTGCGGGTTGCGCTTCAAAGAGTCTCAGGGTGTCTCAAAGTGTCTCACGAGTGTCTCACGAGTGTCTCAAAATGTCTCACGAGTGTCTCAAAGTATCACAAACTGAAAGAAACTATTGTTTGCCTTGAACTGTCGAGAGTGTTATCTATTTTAATAAACTGAGTTTCTAGTTAGTTGGATTGTTGTTGTTGCTCGCTCAAGCACACAAGTAAATATGGGGATCTCCATTGACCAATTCCGTTCAAGGATTGGATCTCATGAAGATTTACATCCTGATTTAAGTGAAAACTATGACCTCTCTGATGATCTCAACATTCCATCAACATCGCTGAATAATGAACCACTGATATTGAATGAATTACCTGATTTCGATTTTCGTCAAATGGTCCAGACACCCGACAAAGAGCGAAAAGAATTTTTTATCACATTTTACATCAGATTAAAACCTCAGAAACCCCTTTCTACTGCTTCCTCAGTGGAGGGGCTGGTGTTGGCAAATCGCATTTAACAAAAGATTTGTATCAGGCAGTGCTTAAGTATTATAACACTAGAGCTGGTGATGATTTTCATCAGATCAAAGTTATACTATTAGCTCCAACTGGTAAAGCTTAAGGGTAACACTCTTCATAGCACTCTGGCCATTCCTGCCAATCAATCACTGAGAAATTACAAACAGCTTGATTCAAGTAGACTAAACACTTTGAGAAGTCAATTGATTTTTGTTGATGAAATCTCAATGGTAGGAAATGGTATGTTTGCAATACAGCTAAACAATAGGCTTAAAGATATAAAAGGCTGTAGAGAGGATTTTGGAGGTGTGAGCATAGTTGCTATTGGTGACTTATTCCAATTAGAATCTGTTATGGATGCTTATATTTTCAAAGACCTCAAAAATGTAGATTTATGCTGTTCTTTCTCCCAGTTTATGGCATAAACACTTTAAAATGTTTGAACTTAATGAAATCATGGGTCAAAGAGACAGCAAATTGTTTGTAGAATTACTTAATAGGTTGCGTAAAGGTAAACACACAGTAGCTGACATTGCAAAACTTAAAGAGAGCTATACAAGAAGACATCAACAACCCAATAGATGCACCTCACTTATTTATACAGAATGCTAAAGTAGATGAATTTAATCAAAGGGCCCATAGTGCAGCCACAGGAAACAAATTCACACTAAATGCTCAAGATAGTGTTATTGGAGCTATCTCTCCAGAGCTAAGAAACAAAATACTAAAACAAATACCCAATGATCCAAGAAAAACATAACAGTTAGCCTCAACCCTTTGTCTTGCTGAGGGTGAAAGAACACACCTTGTCA